CATGAGCTACTTTCTAAATAACAAAGTGGTGTGTTTAATGCTGTTTTCATAGGTGGTCGTAGAAAAAAATATTTTTTCTGCAACCGACACAAAAGTCGTCCATTCTGATACCAAATTTGCTCTTGAATTGGCGTCTCTATTACTGACTCAAACATAGGTATGTTGCTAGGCAACACTTTTAGTTCCTAGGAACTAAAAAGGATGTACTAGATCATCAAGAATAAACAACAATGGTATGGTTGGTTATTTGGGTTAGGACGCATAGTCGGTTTGTTCCCGATTTCGGCAGATTTGACATTCCATACCATATTATGGTTGAGTATTTTTGTTTTGATCAGAAAAGCCTTCAAGATTCACATACTTGATCTGTATTTTATTCATTCTCGGGATCTGACTGTTTGGATCACTTGTTTTTTAATAATCACGGCCAGCAATACTTTACACAACGATATTGTTTACTTTCATTTGATTACCGAGCCGAACACAGTAGAATATGAAGAGAAATAAATAATCGCTATTATTATTGTTGATGTGCTCACCAACCTAACATTCTACACTTATTTTTCCTATATCTAGCACTGGCGCGGTGTTATTGGGGCAGACACCTGGTCCCAATGAATTAGTTCGTGATTTGTTCGAACAGATTTACGTTGTGCAAGAAATATGAATTCTACTTGTTTCTGGAGTAACAGTAACGAAAAAATAATTTTTCAGATCATTTTCAATAACAGCCATATGAGAATTGATCGACATTTGTAGCGAATTTACAAAGTTGTTAAAAGATATTTATGGCATGTGACATATATCGTTAGCAAGAGGAGAACTTTTGAGGGAGTTGGAAGATCCTGGTCGCTTCTGGTTTTTTTTGAAAACATGTAAAGTCACAGCTTTAATTTAAGTTACACATACGAAACTTTGGGAGTAGGTAAAAAAAAACTAGATGACTTATGTCACTCGTTTTGTATTTAAAAGTAGTCTTACATAATACACATCTGAATAAAATCAAAATTCAGAGTCAAAATTTGAATTTGAATGTAGAATTTGGGTATTTTTTTGATAAACAGATGAAAAGACGATTGGAAACAATCCATAGGGCATGAAAGGTGTTAACTAGTCTTAAAGGATAGCAGATGACCCCTCCATTCGACCATTTCAATTTGGCACACGATGCACCAAACACCCTGTATATTAAGAAATACATTGAGAAAAAAAAAGCTGAATACAGATGACAGTTTTTCGCATTTCATCTTAAAAAGTTCTTTTCAAGGACAATAATAATAATAATAATAATAAATTGCCTTTATTTAACCTGGCGGAGTTCAACTGACGCTGCTCTTCCACTCAACCAGGATAGGAGATTAAATACAAAAATTAACAAAAATATTACATAATACATATTCAAACATTGTTTTGGACTGAGGATATTTATTAATATACATGCTTTCCTATTGATCACTGTTTGCCGAGTAAGAACTTCTTCATTTGTATTTTGAACGTAATGAAGGACTGATATTTCATGAATTTATGGTATTTGTTAAATTTTGATGCAGACTGATATGAAAATGATCGTTCATAGAAAACTGATGAGTGTTTTGGTATAGTGAGAATCGTGTTGGTTCGCAAGTCTCTATTATGTATTTCATGTCGTGGTATGAGTCTATTTGCTAATACTTCAGGAATTCTAGTACTTGATAGTTTGTATAGAAAACATAATTGGTGCAATTCCCGTCTATTCTCCATTTTTAACCAACCAATTTCTTTTATAAGGGGCGATACATGTTCCTTAAAAGTAATATTAAATATAAATCGCACACAACTGTTTTGTATTTTTTGGATTCGTAATGAGGTTACATGATCAAGACATGGGCCATAGACAATATCGCTGTAATTGAATATAGATAAAATCAGTGAGTCACACAGTGTTATTTTCAGTTTCTTATTTAAATAATGTCTGTTTGAGTATAAGTTTTTTAATAATCCATAAGAACGTCGAATAAGGTTGTTGACATGTTTGACAAATCTTAGATTGTTGTCGATGAGTAGTCCCAAGCATTTTGTTGTATCATTGAATGTTACAGTTTGTCCATCTACTTGTATGGATATATTGTCCATGGCCCTCTGACGACTTTTGGTGTTACCAAAGATAATTGCTGACGACTTACTGGGATTGATTCTGAGTGAATGATTTTGTGACATCTTTACTAAGTTCTTAATGTCGTTATTGAGACTGGTTTGATTTTCAATTAAGTTTTCTATATCATCACTATAATATAAAATAGTGTCATCTGCATATGTTTGAATCTGAAATTTTTCCAAGCATTTCGAGAAGTCGGATGTATATACAGTGAGGACGTAAAAAGTCCTCCCCCCCCCTTATCTTTTGAACGGAAGAAGCTATCGAGGTCGGGTAAAATTCAGGTAAAAAGGTACTACTTTTACTACTTTTTGGCATAAAAATGATTGTGGTCACGTGGCCTAGTGTCAAGAGGGTACCATCAACTTTTTTTTTTAAATGTAAAAGGGGGTCACGTGGCACCTGGTTTTGAAGGCCTTCCGATTCTCTATCCACCACCGCTGTGTTTGTGAAAATCGACCAAGCAGTTTCAAACTGACGAGGCATTTGAAAATTATAAAAACAAGCTTGAACCTATGAGAACTGTCAAAAGTATCGATATGATTAACGTCAATATTAGACTGGCATTGAAATGAAATGATATTTGGAGTCTCCAGCAAAATAAATAAGGTAAAAAAACTGGAACAAAAACCACATTTTAAAATGCCAATAATATGCGCACCTGTCTTACCACAAAAAATTGACTCTTCGACCATAATCAGTGACGGAGTTGAAATTCTGCTGCAATTAATAGTTGAAATAATTTTTTGTGAAATTTTTGAAGCAAATTTCAATAGCTTGTCAGTTTGAAACGGCTTGGTCGATTTTCACAAACACAGCGGTGTTGTATAGAGAATCGGAAGGCCTTTAAAACCAGGTGCCACGTAACCCCCTTTTACATTTGAAAAAAAAAGTTGATGGTACCCTCTTAACACTAGGCCACGTGACCACAATCATTTTTATGCCAGAAAGTAGTAAAAGTAGTACCTTTTTACCTGAATTTTATCCGACCTCGATAGCTTGTTCCGTTCAAAAGTTAAGGGGGGGGGAGGACTTTTTACGTCCTCACTGTACTATGGTGAAAAGGAGGGGAGCAAGAACCGAACCCTGAGGAGCTCCGTGAGCAATTTTTAACTCTGTTGATTTTTTGTCTTCTATGACTACACATTGGGATCTCCCACTCAAAAATGATTTTATCAGTGAACATGATATTCGATCAAACCCGAAATATTTAAGTTTTGCACTAAGCAGTTTATGGTTCATTGTATCGAATGCTTTGCTATAGTCGACCGATACTAATAATTCTACTTTATTTTTATCCAAGTTTCCAATAATTTCGTCAGTTATTCCCATGAGGGCAGTAGCTGTGCTATGTCCCGGCCTGAATCCATGTTGGTGTATAGGTAAAATTTTGTTTTTGTTGACATAATCATATATTTGTTCGTGAATTGATTTCTCAAAAATCTTAGACATGACTGGTAATATATTGATAGGTCTTAAATCTGAAATATTCTCAGGTTTGTTAATTTTGTTTATAGGGAATATTAATGATTTTTTCCATGCCTCGGGATAAATACCGTTCGCAATACATGTGTTCATGATATGAGTGATTATCGGTGTTAAATAGGGAATACATATCTTAATCATTTTAATAGAAATTCCATCATTGCCTATGGCACTTGACTTGATATTATTTATTATAGATTCGATTTTTCTTTCTGTGACTGGTTCCATATTGAAAGTCAAATCTAGATTGAAAGTGTCATTGTTATAATAATCGTTTGTGTCTACAGCAGGCTCTGAAATAATACTTTTTATGGATGTGATAAAGTGCTCATTGATTTCTTCTGGACGTTTCAGATGATCTGGTAACAAAGTCCTATTTTTTTTATTAACTATGTCAAACGAATGTAGAGTATTCCATAAATTTTTTGAATCATTTTGATTTTGAACATAGGTGAGAAATCCTTTTTTTTCTCGTCTGATTGCCGTTGTTGTCATATTTCTTAGATTTTTATAGTGATTCCAATCGCTCAGATTCATAAGCGAAAAATGTTCAAATAGTTGAAACATTTTATAAAAAAAGCTGATATTTGTCAACAGTTCACGCTTCATTATTCATCTTTCTGCTGTAAGTTATTAGCCGTCATCTGTACCCACCATATTCCTGCACTGTTCACAGGCACAAAGTGAATGTGTTGCCGTTACTTGTCCATTGTCACGTTTTTGTGCTCCATGTTTAATAATAGCGGTTTCCATTGGGCATCCTTCTTCTTGACGTGTAGCAGAAAAATAAATGTATATTTCTTCTGAGTGCACACTAGTTTTACCAATGGAATCCGATGTAACTTTAGGTCAGGGATCGCAGAACATAATATATGTCACAACACAGAATAATATTCTGCACCCAGTGGTCCAGTGCACTCAGTGCAAATCTTAATGTTTTTTAAATAGGAAGTATTCGTCTGTCTTTCTCATTCAATCAAATCATTTTATTGCTTCTTGAGGCTGTATGACACCTGTTGAATTTGATGACAAATTTGTTAACAAAAATGATGACAAAAATATTTTTTATGTGTCATACAGTGAAAAAGGTGTTGATTTTGCGCATATTCGCAAATATTCTTGTAAAAATATAGAACTGGCTCTAAATATTTTGATATTATGAATATTTATACTGTATGGCACATAGGACATATTTTTGTTATCATTTTGTTATATTTGTCATCAAATTTCACAGGTGTCATACAGCCTTTAGGAAAAGAAGAAAAGTACCTACCGAATGGAGCATATTTTGAAAAAATTGTACCCTGGTAACAAATGCAATAAATAGTACCGATTGCGGTGCAAAAGTACCGAAACGGCAGAACTGACTTCATGAACCTACCTTTACCCCCATCGCTTCGTTCTTTCCTCTTCCTCGATTTGCGATCTTCCGCTTCCGTTTGCGCATACGCGGACACGGAAGCGGACTCTTCTCGCTGCTCTTTCTTCGTCTTCCATCGCGTCACCAAGGTGGAGTCTTCTTCTTTGCATCGGATGCAGAAGTACTGTTTGATCGATTTGGCTTCTTTCTCCGATATCTTGATGCAGTCTCCGTGGTACCTGAACATTTTTTGTCTATTACTAGCTTTTCATTTATACAAGGTAGTAAAGAATATCATTATTACCCAGGGACCAAGAATATATCCCCAGGCATCATAAAGCAAGGTGGTCAAATCAAAAATTATAATCAAGTTTAATAAAACTAAATCTGAATAAAATATTTCATTTGACCTAATAGGAGGAAACCATGATATTATAGTTATTATTTGTGACTTTTTCGACCAACCAGCTTGTCAAAATATTTCTTATGCTCCATAACAAAACTTCATGTAAATATTGGCTATAGAGACTTAGCAATGCTGTGCTGAATGCTGAGAACTGACAAGACAATGCCCACAATCCTGTGTTGTTACCTTTACCAGACCAAATATCCTCTAGTATGAATTAATATAATTATAATTAACAACAAATCCATCATGAGCAATAAGACACAACATACAGTCTGTATAATATTTCTTTGCGCGTACGTCACAACTTCAAAGAACGAATCAAATCAATTCAAGGTCATATGTTTCAATGAAGCAGTTCCGTGCTGTTTCAGGAATTGGGTTGAAATAAATAATAATATTCAGAAAATTTGTATTCACTACTCTAGGTAATTTTAACTAAGAAACATTCAATAAAACATAGGATTGGTATATACTTCAAGTTTCAACTCTAAAATTCGTCAATTTATTGACTGTATCAAATTCCATACAAGACTTCGTGATTGCGAATTCAAACGACTTCCTGGCATGTTAAATATTCGACAATGGCCATGCAGAACGATATCATTTCAACACCTACTGCACGCCTACTGCACGCCTGCTCTATATGCAAGTCTGCAAGATGCGCGTAAATCTAAGTTAATTTCATTCACATGTAAAGAAATATAATACAGACTGTATGAGAGAGAAAATTTTGAGACAATGGATTTTTTATAGTTAATTAAGGATATTACTAATACATAATTGGGAATTTATGAATCATTAAATAAATTATATTTCCGCAGTTCCCATTCGTATTTCAACACGAGGCAACTGTGCTACTGTCTGCGGCTACTTAAGAAATCGTGACGTCGGTTTTTATTTGTGGTAAATGTCTAGCCGTTTGAAAATTGCCGTGACAATATTGATGTTTTAAAGCACCTTGAAATCAACCGAAAAAATCTAAAAGAAGATTCAATTGAAAGGTTGAGTGATGATTCTATATAAGAAAAAAATGATAGTCCACTAGCCTCTTCGATCAGTGCAATTGCATGGCTTCGTTCGCTTCTTCGCACGCCGTGAGCGTCTTTTATGAAAACATTTTTCTATGAACATATGTCCGGAGTTGTTTCGTTTCAGTTAAAAAAAGTAACAAAAAACAGTATTTATAAAATATCATGAATATCCTATAACTGATTTGGTTGAAATTTGTTACAGTTATTTGAAGTAGGTAATAAATAAGGCACTTATTTAGAGCCCTAACTATTAACAACTATGATTTGAAAGTAACGAGAAAATAAAGTTTTACCATTCTTCACATGCATCACATGCTATCATGAATCTAGAAGAATCAGAAGATCGACAAATACAATACGCCTGGCCATCTTGTTTCAATAGCGTATCTATTTTAGATTGTCTTTCTGGCAACAAGAACTGCTTGGCTATTTCTTCTCTCTGTAAATAAAATAATTTTATCTACTCACTGAATCAAAAGTAGACGTTTGTCCCTCATTTGAATAAATAAAACAGTCAATTATTATTCAATGCGATATTTGGAAGTCGCCCGCGCCCATGAAATGGTACATAGTATGGTACCAAAATACCTATAAGGAATCGGGTGTTAGATTTTATACTTGATGAAAACCTTCATTTTCAGGCAATATGTCAAGAAACAACAATACTTTCCGAGTACCTACCCACGCCGAACATTGTATAACACCCGAAGACATTACCTGAAAAATTGAGCTCTCCTCAAACAAGAAATCATCAAATTCTCAAACAAAATTGTTCATGAAACAACTATTTTTCGGGCTAAAACCCACGCCGAACGTTAAATTATACAAAAACAATTCTGAACTTGAAACTTTGTAGTCGAGAAAAGGTATACATTTTGTGCACATCATGCGAGCATGAAAATATAAAAAGATTAATGTAGCCAATTGAACGGATATGCCAGGATGGTGAATACCCTTGCAGAGATAGTCTCAAGCCGTCCACTGCCCAGCTATAGAAATTTTAAGGCACTTCCTCATCTGAATTTTCATCGGTATCCGATTAGGAGTCAACATCGGAATCAAGAAAAGCGGGATCTAATTTAAATCTTCCACATGCCAGTTTCCTAAAACAGTACCATTTTCATTCTTGAAAGAGTTTACCAAAGGAGAAAGAAAGAACTTTGTCTACGACACAATGGGACCGTCATCGATGAGAGATCAGAAGTTAACCTGGACATCCAACTGATAGACCTAGAGGTGAGTGGCAGAAAAATGCAACAGTTGTCTGAAGGCTGAAATTTCGATAAAATGTAGTTTTTAGGGTGTATAGTAATAACAAATGGAGAAAAAACAAAAACTCAAAGTCGGTCGACCACAAAATTTAATAAAAGGAGTGACTATAGTTTCGGCTCAACGGCCATCTTCAGACAAAATGTAAAAAAGTACCTAGAAAATTACAAGTTGTTAAATCTAGACAATATGGTGGCTGTGAAAGAACATACCTTATGGAGAAAAGTATACTAATTAAAAACTAACTAGTAGGTCAGCATCGAATCATCCGTCCAAATTGGAACTAGTAAAATTTAAAACGGCTGAAAAGCCAAAAGAACATTTTCAGCCGTTTTAAATTTTACTAGTTCCAATTTGGACGGATGATTCGATGCTGACCTACTAGTTAGTTTTTAATTAGTATACTTTTCTCCATAAGGTATGTTCTTTCACAGCCACCATATTGTCTAGATTTAACAACTTGTAATTTTCTAGGTACTTTTTTACATTTTGTCTGAAGATGGCCGTTGAGCCGAAACTATAGTCACTCCTTTTATTAAATTTTGTGGTCGACCGACTTTGAGTTTTTGTTTTTTCTGCCTTTGAAAAATACTGGGCCACTTTGAGAATGGATGGTTTCCATGACTTGTATAGTAATAGCCTGCCGTCACTCGTCAGTCAGCCAGCCAGTTTCGTTAGCGATTAGCGTGGGGTATAGGTCACGGGGGCGGCCTCAAAGTTGTTAAAAAAAGATGTCCCAAAGTTTTCTAAAATCTGAAAATTGGTTTCTGAATAGTGAATTCACTATAAATGATTAGGATACCGTCAGTCATCAAAAAATATCCTAAGGGGACGCGTCAGCAGCGTGTCAAAGTAAAAAAAATTGGTTGATGATGAATCTGTTTTATAAAATGTTAAATTTGGTATACAAGTTGAAAATAATGGAAAGAATAAAAAAAACATAGTCTGCCCGAATTTTTATTCAACATTCGCCTTCATCAGTCGATAGAACTGCGAGCCTCGCTCATCATTTCATCATGCGCATAATGATTACCCACGAAGATGAAAGTTGCAGTACGAGCCGAAAGGCTAGTGCTGTAATCATGTGTCCACATCTATAATATAATAACAGATTCACCAAACAAAATCATGACATTCTTTCGGGTTTCAACTCGGATTCCAAGGAAGACGATCCCACTACTTCTGGTTTCATATCACATAATTAAATAATTGGCCTACAACGACCTGTCAAACGACGTGATTCTGGAATGATCAATTTCCTGGTCAAAAATAAAATAAGAAAATGATATAATGAAATAAGTTGGTGCCGACTTTTGCCACAACCCTATATAGAGTAAGAGTATATGTATAGCTGGAGGACGAAAAATATGCTAGATACATACAGAGACGAGGGGTTCGTCAATGTGTCAATAGGACTACGAATTTTTGACAATACTCGGCAGTGTCTAAAGGCAATGGTATGCAGTGGTCGGCAATGTTAGACAGTAGTTCGCAATGCCAGGCGGCAGGCAGTGGTCGGCAATGGCAGGCAGTGGTCGGCAATATCAGGCAGTGGTCATAAATGATAGGCAGTGGACGGAAATGATAAGGCAGTGGTCGGTTCAGAAATGCGGCAATAAATCAGTAATTATTAGAAATGTCAACGTCAGATCATCTAGGATGGCATGACTGACAGAGACGGTTAGCAATTAAGGTAGGACTGTGAAGATCAGAATATCTTCATGATACCTGTAAACATTCTTACTGAAATACATTTAATAAAACGTATTGTAGTATACAAATACCTACGTTCTACATTTCTTAATAATAACAAGACATGGCGCAGTCGAGTGGTAAAGCCTAAAGCACTGAATAGTGCATACCTAAAGTGTTGAAAATTCTCCTGTGGAAATACTTCAAACCTGCAACTCAAGATGGATGTTCGGTTACCAAGCCCAATGAGCTTTGAAGGTAATGTTGCTGAAAATTCAAACAAAATTTGAAGATATATTTAATTACATCTGAGAAAGATAAAAAGCCTGACGAAATGAAGGTAGTTGAAGTTATAAATACCCTGAAAGTGACAGTAACTCAGAGAAATTGTTATCAAGCAGTATTGAATGAGCTAGAGGCATTTTGCATCCCTGAAAAAAATGAGATGTTTGAAAGGTTTGTCTTCTATACTAGAAATCAAGAAGGAGAACTTCTTGACTACTTTTATACTGACATTAAGGAGCTGTCACAATCATGTGAATTTGGCACTGAATTAGAAAAAAGTCTTCGTTGTAATGGGTATTTATAGTAAGGAACTAAGAAAAAAATTATTTATTCCTAAAAAATTTACATTAGAGGAGGCAGAGGAACAACTGCCTAGTAGAATTGATGCAGTGAGGAATAAAACCCAGTATCAGAAATGGTTTGACAACAATACAACAGGCAATTCAAGTAGATATGGCACTGAAGCCTATGATTGTCGGAGCTTTGGAACTAGACACATTTATAGGCAGTGCCCTGTAGACGCTGTTCTCGCTATGGACATTTTGATTCTATGTGTCATAATGGATCAAATGGACCAGTAAACAATAAATCAAGAAAAGTAGGGAAAATTCAAGAAGTAGATTGATGAATTTATGGTATTGACAATAGGTGTAAATGAATTGAAGAATGTTAGAGAATGGAGGGAGACTATCAAGGTAAGAGGTGAAAATATCAATTTCAAAGTGGACACTGGGTCTCATGTTGATATTCCACCCAAATGCTTATTTGATAGAATTAAAAATGTTGAATTAGAGCCAACAAAAGTAATATTGGAAGTCTATGGAGGTTTCAGAATTGTTCCAACCGGCACTGCAAGCATAACTTGTATGTACAAAAGTAATGTAAAGATTCTTAAATTTATGATAGTGGAGGGAAATGAAAGCTCACCCATACTGGGGTTGCAGTCTTGTAGAGAGTTGAGAATGTTACCTGAAGTGGACAATATAGTTTGTGACATAAAAGAACACTTCATCAAAAGCAATGCAGATATTTTTACAGGTCTAGGAAAATTTGGAAAAAAATGTGTTCTGAAACTTAAGAAAGATGCTTTGCCAGTTGCAAGACCACCCCACAGAGTACCTTTGGCAATTCAAGGCAAATTAAAAGAAAAAGAAAGTCTAGATGGTCTAGTCAAAAGAGGTGTTATTTCGTGTGCGAGGGACCTACGGAGTGGTTAAGTAACTTGGTAATTGTAGAAAAAAAGGATAAATCGTTGAGACTTTGTCTAGACCCCAGGGATTCAAATTTGGCTGGAAAAGGAATTTTGTGTGATTCCAACTCTAGATGAAATTAGGTCAAGGCTTAAGGATCAGTTATATTTCACTGTATTAGATTTCAAAGATTTGTTCTAGAGTCCGACCACGTTAACTTTGGGACAGCATGTGACGCAACGCATATGCATATTCAATGCATACGCGACCATGAAGAATCAAGTTATTTATGTGCTTTTCGTACATATTTTGGTTTTGGTGCTTTTAAGTTTAACAGTTTACCGATGGGCCTTAACTGTGCTCCAGAATTTTTCCAAAAATTGAATCAAGAAAACTTCAGTGATTTACCAGGTTGTATGATTTATTTTGATGACCTATTCGGGGACTCACTAGAACAACATGATATTCATTTAAATCAAGTTATTGATAGAGCAAGACAATTAGGGGTAAAGTTCAAGGTGAAAAAAATTCAATATAGAGTTAAGGAGGTCAGATATTGTGGTAATATTTTTGACAAAGAGGGAATGAAGGCAGACAAAGAAAAAGTAGCTGCTATTCAGAATTTAAAAGAGCCAACTAATAAAAAAGAGCTCCAAAGTGTTCTTGGGATGATTAACTATTTGCGTAGCTACATTCCCAACTTGTCAGATATATCTGCCCCACTTAGACAGCTTTTGAAAAATGATGTTCGCTTTCTTGTGGGGCGAGCAGCAAAGTAGTGCATTCAACAAGATTTAAAATTCAATAAGCTCCCAAACAATTTTGGCAAATTTTAGTGAAACACTTGATATTGTGATTCAAACTGATGCAAGTCAATCAGGGCTAGGATGTTGCTTGTTACAGAACCATAAACCTGTTGATTTTGCATCGAGATCCTTGACAAATAATGAATCAAAATTTAGTCAAATTGAAAAAGAATATCTTGCCATTTTATGGTCTTGTC